CCCATATATATGTGTGTCAGATTTTGGTGCAAATATCTCAATTCACTTCCGAGTTATAAACATTTATATGAAAAAATACGTAAAAAATGACTGACACATGACTTTGTTTGAATTTTACTACCCCTTACTATCAATATTTTCGCATTTGGGCATTAGCGTATAGTTAACGAGCTATGATTCCGTGTTTTGGCGGTGGTTTCGTCTCGATCGGAACAGCGGTTTTGAAGATATCGCCAAGTGTTTTTTCGCGCTAAATCGCTACGCTACACCAACCGTAACATGAAACCCAGCGTGTTTAGTATCGGGACTCTCGGCAACGATTCAGGAACTCAAAAAGATGACTCCCGTGAAAATAAGTGTACCACACCCAAAGTTATAGGCGTTTGAAAAAAAAAAATTCACCACTAGGTGGCGCTGTTTCGAAACTTCTCAGGCTCCTTCAGGGCATTGTACTGATGACCCATACCGAGTTTCGTAACAATTCGTTCATGCGTTCAAAAATACAGCATTTTAGCACATAATTCAAAATGCCGACCGCCAAAATGGCCGTTCTGGGAAAATTGGATATCGGTGGACTTGCATGACGCCCTGAATCTAACGAGACCAAATTTATGATTTTGGACAAACCGTTCAGAAGTTACGAGCAAAAATAGCCATTTTTCATATCTCCGGACCACTAGGTGGCGCTGCGCCGAAACGCAGCAAGTAGCCTCAGGTCATGCTTGTGATAACACGTACCAAGTGGTGGTGTGAAAACGAGTAAGCGTTGCGGAGATACAACCTCACGTCTGTTTTCGCAAGCGCTACGTAAATTTTGTTACGCGTTTATCGAAAACGGTTATTCGAATCACTCTTGAATTCATAACTTTTTGTCAGCACTGCCTGGAGATGATCGGTGCGATTTGTGGTGAAAATCGGACAAACCGTCTAGGACGAGTTCGCAAAAGTAGGTTTTTTGGAAAATTCAAAATGGCGGCCGTTTTTTTATGACGGAAAATGACGTCATAGGGTGCGATCGAATCGGCATGAGCTCAGGAACAAGAGGAAAAAAGAATTTTGTTGATAGGCCTTACGGTTCAAAAGTTATTAGCATAATAAAAGTGAAACTTTGGACAGTTGGTGGCGCTAGAGGGAATGAGTTAGAGACACCAAAATTGGTGTATTTAAAGTTGGGACTGTCCTCTATCAGAATGTCAAACCAAAACAACTTTCCCGCAAACCGGTCTATGGGCTGCCATAGACGCCCAGTCGGAAGAAGAATAATAATAATAATAATAATAATAATAATAAGAACCGGCACAGATACAATAGGTGCCTCCGCACCTTCGGTGCTTGGCCCCTAATAATAGGAAACGGAACAGATACAATAGGTGCCTCCGCACCTTCGGTGCTTGGCCCCTAATAATAGGAACCGGCACAGATACAATAGGTGCCTCCGCACCTTCGGTGCTTGGCCCCTAATAATAAGAACCGGCACAGATACAATAGGTGCCTCCGCACCTTCGGTGCTTGGCCCCTAATAATAATAAGAACCGGCACAGATACAATAGGTGCCTCCGCACCTTCGGTGCTTGGCCCCTAATAATAAGAACCGGCACAGATACAATAGGTGCCTCCGCACCTTCGGTGCTTGGCCCCTAATAATAATAATAATAAGAACCGGCACAGATACAATAGGTGCCTCCGCACCTTCGGTGCTTGGCCCCTAATTACACTTTACAAGACACTCTAGTCTTAAGTGTCACATAATCCTTCAGAAATCATTCAAATACAATGATTTGGTTTATTTTATATTATTACAGTAATGTAATATTAAAATTATATATAGTATAATTATTCCATGTTGTCTCTGAATCGATATGAGCTCATGAAGCTGCATACGTAAAAATAAATAAATAAAAAATAGATTTAAATAAAAAAAACACTTTATCATGGAAACAGATAGCTATTATTTCATCGCCATCGGTCATTGTGTTGACTAACACATGTAAGTGACTGTTTTATGGGTTAAATGTTGAACTCTGACCTTCCCCGAGGCAGTAGCGCAGTCGCAGGTCCCAGCTCTGCAGCGCCTCCTTGCTGTCGAAGCCGAGCATGGCGGTTTGACTGAGACACAGGATTGAGAGGATGAAGGGAACGTCGGCGCTGACACACGTCTCCAGACCGCAGATGTGCTCCAGCGTCACGCTGCTCCTGTCCTTCAAACCGCGCTCCTTATAAACGTACAGCACCAAACAATCTGACACAAACAAACACACATTAGCTTTCATAAAGGACATTGTCTGGTTTAAAGACATTTATTTACCTTGACATACTGTACAATCAAGAAGGTCTGAAACATCCACTTGACTTTGATGACAAAGACATTACTTTCATTTAGTGAAAATGTTTTCAAATATAGTCATATTTTAACAAAGCACTATTGTAGTAATAATAAGAAAAAAATCATCGACTTTAAATCATCACTTTAAATCCATATTTACCTTTTAAATATTTTTTTTAATAATTTTTTAAAGAGTTAAATAATTTTTTTAAGAGTTTCATCAAAGTTTCATTCCTTTAATGGATATTTTTTGGTGTGTTTTATGAGGACATTTGTCTTATTTAAGCTGTCGATGATTTACTTTATGCCCCTAGAAAATTAAACAAAAAATCTTTAAGAGTCTTCATTTGTACATTTATGAGCCAGACATAATGTAGTAGAAAGAATGATACCTTAACTGTCCACCACGGTTGCCTCTATCAGCCTGTAGGCTCAATTGACCTATGGCTAAGCCACGCCCTCAAACGCGATGAGCCAATCACAGTGCGCAGCTAACCCAATAGAGAGCCTAAGTCCCGCCGCTCCACTCATGGGACCTTATTTCAGAAAAAAATATGTGTGGTAGTCAATGGCGAGGGACAACTTATCTTTTTATTCCGTCTGAACTGTGCCCTGAATTACACATATGATGTTTGTCAATTTAAAAGATAATTCATTTCTGAGAGTCAAAAACGTCGCAGTTTGTCATAAAACAGAAAAGTAACATTTAGTTTTATGTGTAAATCGCTCAATGATCGCGAAACAACGAGCAAGATCTGCTGCTCGTGTGTGTGCAGTCTGGTACAAAACACTCAGGCATGATGGTGTAACGTTACAATTATAACGTAAGACTATAAAAACAATGACAGACGTTAGCCTCAAGTTAGCTTCATTCATTGAAAGAAAATGTGCACCTTTGGGGTTTGTAGTCTTTGTAATTACGTATTTTCACAGTCTTATACCTCAACGGTTTTACATCAAACTGCGACTTTCTTTACTTTAAAATGTATCTTTTAAATTGACAAACATCATATGTGTAATTCAGGGCGCAATTCAAACGAGATCAAAATATTTGTTGTCTCTCACCAGTGACAATATTTTTCCGAAATAAGGTCCCATGGTGGTCAACCGGAAGGGGAGGGACTTAGGCTCTCTATACACTAGGACATTCTCTGCTTCCACGTCCATTGAAATCCATTGCAGTTAGGCAGTTTTCATTCGTTTGTCTTGTCATTTTAAGTTTAAAATGGTCAAACAGTGTGCATGGGGTACATGCAACTCCGACACTAGGTTCCAGAGAGGCTGGCCGACGGTGTGTGTTTTTTTACCCTTTCCCAACCCACATCTCAACCGAGATAAGTGTCTGCTCTGTATTAAGTTATGCGGTAGACCACAACATCAACAAAACATGGATAAATTAAACAAGGATGCCTACATCGATTCTAAGTTAAGTCAACAACGTATTTGAACGTTGTCTTTAAAATAACGTAACGTTAGGCTAACATTAGACTAACATTAGAAAACATTAACGTTAGCTTCTGCATTGTACATCATGTCACTTAGCTTCATTAACGTATCTGTAAATAACTGAGATAACAAATGTTAACAATAGTGCTGAATGATTCATATAAATACTGTAGCACTAAACGGTGATGGCAACAATATGCGGTTTATCATCACATGTACAATGTGACCTATACATTTTTGCCTGGAGCTTTTCATCGACCTTCTCAACAATAAAATGATTAATATAACCCTCCAATGCATAGTTAAGGCCCTTTAGGTGACTTTGAGATGATATATAATCTTTCTGTCTCCAAAAATCACCAATTACCTCCTGTGAAATGTCTTCTACTTTGACAGCTGCCATAGCGCCTGTCCCCAAATGTTGACTGTTTGTCCAAGTGAGTGTATGGGGCCAGGCTTAGCCATAGGTCAATTGTGTGTGGAGGAGTTGGGTCCGAATTGGCGCAAAAATTCACAAAATGTGTCGTCATGTGCGTTCTCGTCTGGGCTTACATCCATACGGCAGCCATTAGTAAGCAGCAGAAATCGCTATGGAATCGCTACGGACTGCGGACGGAAAGAAGCAACCAGCCTCCAGCACAATCCAGATACCCACCCACGGAAACTGCTCGTAAGTTTAAAAAATAAAAAGAGCCTTATCTAGTGTGGCCAACGAGCGTGCCCACTGAGAAGGAGCATGAGACTGGCTGCAGTTTCTCTAACAGCCACTGGTGTCAGTAACGGTAAGAAATGTCAGAACTTCCACAATGCTACTTTAATGTTACAAAAGCTTTCTATTTCAAATAAATCCTGTTCTTTTAAACTTTATATTCATTAAAGACTCCTAAAAACAAGTTTCCACAAAAATATGAAGCAGCACAACTGATTTCAACATTGATAGCAGCAAATCAGCATGAATTGAAGACTGAAGAAATTATGCTAAAAATCACAGGAATAAATTACTTTTTTTTTTTTAATATTACAATAGAAAACAATTATTTTAAGAGAATTTTTTCAAAATCTTACTGACCCCAAACTTTTGAACGATAGTGTAGTGTATCATGTGCCGTTGTACCATTTATAGGTCTACTACAAACTTTAACCATATTCATATTTAAACGTGAATAAAGAGGTACATGAGGTGCATGTCCAAAAAACAATTCTTACATCCCCTGAAAGATGTAGCCTAGGTAGGTCAAACTTGATTCCTGCTACTACGAAAGCAAACAAACAAAACAACCTTTGTCACACACACAAACACACACACAGTGTGAACAGCTGCACAAACGTCTTTCCGAACACATTTCTGCTCTCACAGCTGATCTTCTGCAATAGAAAACTTCACTGCAGCAATAAAACATACTGCAGCGACGGCAAGACATTTCACTGAAGCAAGAGTGCTGTTGTACTAAATAGTGAAACATTCCAGTGCGGTTATATGAAACTCCTGGTAACTCCTGGTATTAAGTCTGGTAACAAAATAATGAATAAATGAGTAACGTTAGCATCAGATATTAAATTATATTCTGTATTTGTACACAAGTATTTGTAATAATAATGTTTACAGATATTAACTTGTTGCCATATAATCAGGTCATATTTGATCTATCTAAATCTATAATTCTATGTTGTTACAATTTAATAAAAACTATACTATGACTTCACAGTGAAATAGAAATTATTATGTAACAGCACCACAACGATCATCTGTCTGTTTTAGCCTACAATAATGCTTAATACAGATTGTAAATACTGCAACAGCATGTTGACAATGTTCAGTTCATGTTCATACATACATGTCACTTTCATATTTGTTAATTGTCGCCACGGCTGAGTTTGTGTTGCTGTGAAGTGTATGATCATGATAACTGACCTGCGACCGGTGAGGGTTTGCGCAGAACCAGCCAGCGGCTCCTCCACTGCGAGAGAGAAGTCAAAACCAAACCTTTACAGACAACCACCCATGAACTTATTATATACACACATACAGCTCACGCGTGCGATTTCCATACTTTTTTGCCGTCTCTGATTTTTGCGGCTCCCTCTGCGACCACGGTATCACTCATCTTCCCCACATGACAGCTGCGCGTGCGCGCGCCCGCACGGCTCACTTTCAAAATAACGCCAGAGCGAGCGACCCGCTGCCTCAAGCACGCGCCCAAATAGGCCATATGTCAGGGGTCAGTCAAAGGTTACTGTGTCGGTACGGAACAATTATTTTAGGTCAAACATAATTAACCCTTAGCCGGCGTGTATTTATCATGCATGCAACCCTTAAAAAATGTGTCATGTAACAAATGTGACGTATAAAACTAATGCAACTGAACTACCTAAGATTTGTCCGATCGGTAGTGTAGTCGCATTTATAATCTGCACACAGTTCTAAACAATTACAAAAGGTACCGATTTTGGTAATTTATTCACCCCAAACTGAAAAAAGACAAAATCAAAGGAAAACACAGTAAAGAAACCTGAGGAACTGGCATGAAAACAATGTCAAAATGCAGAATATTTGTTATATTTTATTTTTGTGTTGAACTGATAATATTTAGATGATGTAGATGTGTCAGAGTATTACAAAGGTCAACATAAATACTTTTTGAATGGAAGTGGAGAAAATACCTCAAAGCTTGTAGATTGATTCTTGAATAAATTACTATGTAAATGATTGCTGCTATGATTTAACAACAAAATTGCATTTTAACTTTATTTATCTTTTCACTTTATGGTGGACGCGCAGATATACACATCTTGACGATTGGATATCTATCTATCATGATCTGTGCTTGATAGATAGTTTTAGATTTAAAAACATTTTTAAAATACTTCATGCAGATTAAAAGACACATTTCACAGCAATAAATTTAATTTATTGATATGCAATATATATATATATATATATTGCTTGTTAATATAAATACAATAGCATTAACAACACTTAAGTTCATCAGTATTATTCAATAACATGAACACTGTAATGGAAAGAGTAATTCATTAATAATAAAGTCACAGTTGATTTATGGGTTGTCTTTGGCATTGATTCCAAATGGAAATGTTTATCTTTATTCTGTTAGCTGATGATGTTTTCCTGGATCTTTTAATGACGCTGTTTATCCAGTCAGAATATTTGGGCACGAGGGTATACACGCCTGGTTTTCCTGACCGTCCACATCCGTCCCCCCAACTGATGATGCCGTAAAGGAAACTCACACCGTTACACTCACATGCTAAAGGACCTCCGGAGTCTCCCTAAAAAAAAAATACAACACACACATTAAAAAAGATAGACTTGTCTAATTTGTCAATGTTTTTTTTTTTTTTTTTTTTGTGCTTCAATGCAAAATGGTTTCTATCACCCAACTCAGCAAAAATCAAAAACTCTTTTTTTTACTCAATGTCAACCATTAGCAAAAACTGTGATACTTACAATAAGGTCGCATTAGATGATGCATCATCTAACGTAAACTAACAAGAGCTATCCATTTGTTACAGTATTGTTAACATTTAGTAAATAAAAATATACATACATTCCTAGTTCATGCTCATTAAAGGGATAGTTCACCCAAAAATGAAATTCTGTCATCATTTACTCACCCTCAAGTTGTTCCTAACCTGTAATGTTTTGGTTCGGCTGAACACAAAAGAAGGTATTTGGAAGAATGTTGGTAACCATACATATCTCAGGTCCCATTTGACAACCACAGTAGGAAAAATACTATGGTAGTCAATGGGGCACAAGATCTGCTTGGTGTCATGAAACTGCACATGGAACATGGACAGAGGTCATCCAAACGCAGGCTTTATTAAAGAGGAGAATCCAGAGACAGGTACAAGGAAACAGGCAGAGGTCAAAACCAGGTAAGCAGTCCAGATCAGTAATCACACAATTCAGGGATTAGGCAAACGGGAAGACCAGATACAGGCAGAGAGTCCAGGAACCGTGAAACTAGGAAATACTAAGGAAACTAGGAAAATACTCGAAGCAGTCAGACAACATACACACACAATACTGAGCACCGAACAAAGGGGAAACTTGGGCTTAAGACAGGTGAACTAAACAAGATGATACAACACAGGTGCATGAAATAAACCATAATCAGTCCAGGGTAAAACATGACTGAAACAATAAACTAGGAAGGAGTACCCCCCAGAGGCTCAAGCGGGCACTCCAGCCGCAGATCGTCACATAACCCCCCCTCTAAGGAGCGGCTTCCAGACGCTCCTAGAACGATCTAGGCGGGGGGCAGAGTGAAGGTGATCCCGGGGGAGGGACGGAGGGCCAGGCCCGTGCAGGGGAACGGGACCAGAACACAGGCAAGGCGGGCCTGGGCCGTGGAGCGTGGGTGACCAGGTTGGAGCAGGACGTGATGGCGGCCAGGGCGGAGCAGGACGTGATGGCGGCCAGGGCGGAGCAGGACGTGATAGCGCCCAGGGCGGAGCAGGCTCAGGCAGAGATGAGGGCAGAGCAGACTTAGGTGCGGTCCATGTCAGTGCCACCTCCATAGCCCCCACAGAGTACCTACTGCCCCCCCCAAAAAAATACTTGGGGAAATTCCCGGGAGGAACCTCTGGGTGGTGAACGGGTACAGGAAAGGCCTCCCGGAGCTTGAAGGGTGCAGGCAGAGCGAGGCGCAGAGGCGGGGCCGGCAGGGCGAGGCGCAGAGGCGGGGCCGGCAGAGCGAGGCGCAGAGGCGGGGCCGGCAGAGCGAGGCGCAGAGGCGGGGCCGGCAGAGCGAGGCGCAGAGGCGGGGCCGGCAGAGCGAGGCGCAGAGGCGGGGCCGGCAGAGCGAGGCGCAGAGGCGGGGCCGGCAGAGCGAGGAGTCTGGGCACGCTCAGCGGGGCCTGGCGAACCGAACGAGTCCTCCTTATCCTCCTCCTGCGGCGGTGCGTCACAGGGCTGGACAACTCACTCACTTGAACTGGAGATGCAGCGCTCACTTGAACTGGAGATGCAGCGCTCACTTGAACTGGAGGTTCAGCGCTCCCTTGAACTGGAGATTCAGCGCTCCCTTGAACTGGAGATTCAGCGCTCCCTTGAACTGGAGATTCAGCGCTCCCTTGAACTGGAGATTCACTCACTTGACTCGATTTGGACCTGGACACACTTGACTTGGACCAGGACACACTTGACACACTTGACTTGGACCTGGACACACTTGACTCACTTGACTCGGCCGTTGACTCACTTGACTCGGCCGTTGACTCACTTGACTCGGCCGTTGACTCACTTGACTCGTTCGGCCCGGCACTTGACTCGGCTGGCACGCGCTCAGTGGAAAACTCCTGAGGCAGGAATGCAACGGAGCTCACGTGAAGTGTTAGAACAACAGGATTCACATTTCGCGTGGATTCGGGGGACTCCTCACCAAGTGCTGGTTCAACTGGGCTTTCATGTAGCGCAAACTCGGCGGAGCACGTGTGAAGCGCTGGTTCACCGGGAGACTCTAGATGCGTGGATTCAGTGGGTACTTTGTAAAATGCCGAATCGTCGGGTCCTCTGTGAAGCAAAAGTTCCAAAAAATCCACAGTAAAAAGCGAACCGCTCATGGAAAAGGCCAGATCAATATATTGGGAAAGAGTCCAGCTTGGACTCGGAAACGGTATATCAGAGCCGAGCGGTTCAGACAGTCCTCCCCGAAAGAATATCATTAAACAAAAATCATCCAAGTAGGACTGATGAGAGAGATTCAAAAAATCCATCACAAAAACCTTGAGAGGACGTTCTCCTTGGCGGAGGCATACAATCTGTGCTGTGGGATCCATTGCGAGGTCCGTGTTCCTCTCAGCCGCTGGATCAGTAGTGGCTCAGTATTCTGTCATGAAACTGCACATGGAACATGGACAGAGGTGATCCAAACGCAGGCTTTATTAAAGAGGAGAATCCAGAGACAGGTACAAGGAAACAGGCAGGGGTCAAAACCAGGTAAGTAGTCCAGATCAGTAATCAAACAATTCAGGGATTAGGCAAACGGGAAGACCAGATACAGGCAGAGAGTCCAGGAACCGTGAAACTAGGAAATACTAAGGAAACTAGGAAAATACTTGAAGCAGTCAGACAACATACACACACAATACTGAGCACCGAACAAAGGGGAAACTCGGGCTTAAGACAGGTGAACTAAACAAGATGATAAAACACAGGTGCATGAAATAAACCATAATCAGTCCAGGGTAAAACATGAATGAAACAATAAACTAGGAAGGAGTGCCCCCCAGAGGCTCAAGCGGGCACTCCAGCCGCAGATCGTCACACTTGGTTACAAACATTCTTCCAAATATCTTCCTTTGTGTTCAGCAGAACAAAGACATTTATATAGGTTAGGAACAACTTGAGGATGAGTAAATGATGACAATTTGAATTTTTGGGTGAACTATCCCTTTAAACTATCCCTTTTTTTTTCGAAAGTGAACAAAAGTCTTCCGGGTTAAGAACGACACAAGGGTGAGTAAATGTTTTTAACTAACTAACCCTTTAAAACATATCAACAGATATGATTTCTGATTTTAGTAATAGTAACAGATACAATGTTTGATTTTAATAATAGTAAATGTTGAAATGACTATTAGCTAAGAGTAATACATGCTTTAGAAGTATTTTTATTCTCTAATGTTACTTTACTGTATGTATATATCTACATTCCATTTGCCAATTTACAAAATGTCAAATTTATGTTAAATACATCTAAATTATTGAAAAGTAATATTGATATAGAATATCAAAGTAAAACATCTATAAATATATATTATATATATATATATATATATATATATATATATATATATAAATTAAAAGATCCTTGTAAAAAAAGGGAAGATATATCATATTAGTGCTTAGTGATTTGACGTCTTACCTGGCAGGCGTCCACACAGGAGTCACTCCCGGCACACAGCATCCCTGACCGGACCTCTGATCCATACACATCTGGACTCGAACACTGGTCAAACGGAATAATCTTCACCACTCCCTCGATCAGGTCTGAATATGAGTTTGCCTCTAAACAGACACACACAAGTTACTTTCAATTTTATGCAGATCATGATTAATGTTTATACTATAAACTCAAATGGGAAAAGATGACAAATTCAGACC